AGCCAGAGTAACAGAGACTTATTGACGATCCAGTCTGGTGAACAGGGTGAATGAAGAATCCATAGAGAGGATAAAGAGAGACATACACAGAACTAGGGGAAGGGGGGACTCAGAACCTCGAGGGCTGAGCGCCCAGGCAGTTTATTTTATAGACCATTTAAACTATCTTACCCAGGGAGTAAGATGAATGCTTTCTATATGCTACACGAAGCACAGAGGGTTCTGGAAGATGAACTCTGACAGGCTACTACTGTTACCTGCAACAAGCAATCCTTATGGGTCTTGGACAGATGAAGCATAGATCCTTTCCTGTTAGTTCCGTCTCGAGATTAATTTTGCGCATGGATTTCCACACCGATCTCAGTCCCGTGTTCTGGACTTCATGCTCCCAGAATTGACCCAACTCGTTGTTATGTAATGTGATTCTGCATTCGATTTAATTTTTCTCTGATTTACATCCTTATATGATCCCCAGCAACCTATTTCTGCCTAAGTAGCTATTTTGTGCAGTTAAAATAAAAATGTGATGAAGATAAAGATTTGACCTAAACATTCTGGCTAGGAGATGCCGCCTGCAGACACCCACACACATGAGCACATGCTCACGAGGCCTGGATGATTACACCTACACGTAAGGCGCTGGGAAATGTCCAACAAGAAGGTGCCAGGAATTAATGTCGAGCACCTCGTTGACAGCTGTTCAGTTGGGAAACGCGATTGAGAATCCCTGTTCTGTAGCCACCAGTGGCTATTCAGTGCAGATGTGGGCACCTGGATGCCATTTCTGTCCCAAACTTTTTCCATCTCAGAATTACTGCTTTAATATGGCTTCTGTGGGACCAGCAGTTAGCGTAATGGCTATGTCTCTGGACTCCCATGTAGTCGACCGTGGTTTGCGTCCTGGACCCGGTGGCTTGAAACTTACGCTGGGCGCATGTGTGTGCGTGCCCAAGATCCCAAGAGGAGAATGGAGGAGAAGGGATTGCGGCGTAGCCACCCCCCTGGGGGGTGATTTCTTGCTTTCTGTCTCTCTGTCTTTCTCTGTCTGTCTGGTGAGCGCATGCGCCTTATAGCAAAAACTTCTCCAAAATATATATATTTAAGATATAGGGAAGCAACATTGGGACTCTTTTTACAACATAGAAACCGGGTCTGGGTGCTCCAATACAGCATCCACTACTCCATGTCTCTCTCTCTCTCTCTTTTTTTTTTTTTTTTTGAGAAGTTTTTCCTATAGCATGAGTGTGCTCACCAGAAAGACACAGAGAGAGAGACAAAAAGCGAGACCCCCCCCCCCCGGGGGGATGGCCACGCCGCAATCCCTTCTTCTCCATTTTCCTCTTAGGATCTTGGGCACAAATGCATATGTGTCTCGCATGAGTTTAAGCAGCCGGGTTTGGGACTAGAACCCTTATCGACTATGTGGGAGTCCAGCCACATAACCATTATAGCCTCTACTGGTCCCTGCTACTCTAGGTCTCTTAAAGCCCCTCCTGCCCAGAGGAATCCAGAGAGAGTCCAGTTGTACATCATACCATTTAATGAAGGTTGGTGCATCCAAAGGAGTGTTGCAGGCAATAATCTCATAAGTGAACTTCTGGGTGCAGGCATGCTTCTGAGTTTACTACCTGACATACGACAAAGTCCTGGAGATATTTAAGGGAAAAGGAACCTTAGACCTGCATTTCACAACCCCCACACTCTTCCATTCTCTGTCATCATAGATTTCATCCCCCAACTGCTTCCTGAGAATTGAGGAATAAGACTATCTTCAGATCTTAGTGAGGGTGGGACTGGCTCCAGCACCTGGGAAGTCCTGGGATCTATCTGAGCTATACTTAGGTGTCAAAGGGAATCTCTCTGAGAAAACAGTGATAAAGAAATGTCTTTAGACTCTGAAAGAGGGAAAATATCACCTGGTAGTCTACCAGAAGCAAAAATTCTCATCATACTTTTGACCTTCGTCACGGATGGGCTGGAGACCTATGCTGGAGAACTACAGTATCACCTCAGGCCTGGGAGGATCAAAGGATCTTTCAGGAAACAGGGTGAGGTTGTGATGGGTGGCCCAGGGACCAGGCGTATTCGTATGTCTGTGTGTGCACGGTGTACGTGTTCCTGTGTGTGAGGATGTGCCACCTAGAGAGACTGGCGAAGACACACCTGCCAGAGAGGACCAAGAGAGAGAGGTCAAACCTGACCCTGAACAATTCTCACCCCAAAGTCTGGCCCTGCCACCTTGGGTCTGCGTATTGCTATGACATCAGTGGGGCTTCTCTAGGGCCCCTTGGCTGGGGTGCATACTCTGATCCAAGCTGCCTTTGGGCAAGAGAGGAAAGGTGCCCCTGCAAGTCACCCAGAATGTGTAGGGTTAGGTATGAACATGTCCTGGGGAGCGCTCACCAAGCCCTCAAGGTGTGTGGGATCAACGTCCCCGTGGCTCGTTTTCCCTGTGTCCAGGCTTCCGGTGCTGCCCCCCTCACCCCAGGGCTCTCTTTCATGTAGTTGGCCAGCATGGCAGGTGTGCGTGGTGCTGTGGACATCTCAGCTGGCTAGGGGCATCTGACAACAGAGAGGAGGCAGAAGGGCCACTCCCTAGGAGTGGGCCAGGACTCCAGGGAGGGAGATGAGAAGAGTAGGGCTGGTAGGCCTGTGTGGTATTTGGAGGATGGTGTAGATAGAGGTGGGAGGAGGTAATGGGGGCAAGAGAGTTGGTGGGCTAAGGAACTGGCCAATGGAAGGGGTCACAGAGGAAGGGTCTGGGCTATGGAGCAGGAGCGTATCCATGGCAACGTGGAGTTCTCAGGGTGTCCGTCTGGCAGCCTGCCACATTTGATGGAGGTGTGACCAGCAAGGGACGCTGGATCCAAATGCCGTGATTGGGGATGCTCCGCCTATGCACAGGTGACGTGATACCTCCTTTTTTTTTTTTCTTTTTTTGGAGAGCTTTTTGCTATAGGGCCCTTGTGCTCGCCAGACAGACAGAGACAGACAGAAAGCAAGAACTCCCCCCCCAGGGGGGATGGCCACGCCGCAATTCCTTCTCCATTCTCCTCTTGGGATCTTGGGCACGCACCACACACACGTCCGGTGTGAGTTTAAGCCACCAGGTCCAGGACTTGAACCGCGGTCGACTACGTGGGAGTCCAGCGACATAGCCACTACACTAACTGCTGGTCCCATGCCTCCTCCTTTTGCAGCCACCATTGTGTGCACACAGCCTTAATGGTGCCTCCAAGCTTCAGAGAAACCTGGGGCCAGACGGGCACCCCTCCCTCATCTACAGGCTTCTTGCCCTCCCCACAGGCAACTAGAAACACACCCACGAAACAAGAATTTCTGTGTCTTGGAGATTTTTATTGCATGGGAACAACATGAAGAAAACAGTTTCAATGCCCTGTGCAGACGAGACTCTTCCATCACGTCTGAGCCATGGCAGAGGTGGCAGGGGGACCTCCTCTGTCTGCAGAAGTTACTCCAGCGACGCATTTAGGTGCAAAACTCAGGTCCTTGGTGCGGGCCAGGGAGACCAGCAGAAGGCGGACGGCAGCAGTGCAGCTCTGGGCGTTCCTGGGCCTTCGTGTGTGGATCTGGCTCTCAGCAAGACAAGCGACTTTGGGCGGAGGCCGGTAACGGGTAGGGAGACGGCCACGCTGTGCTCAGGCTTGTAGAGTCTCACGTTTGTCCGAGGAGAGGAGCGATCTGCATGGTGAACAATAAGGCAGCGGGGTTAAGAGGGTTGCGGCCATCAAATCTCGCAGACCCCTATCCTCTGTCCCTGGAGCAGGTCTGTCCCCAGAGGGTACCTGTGTTTCTTTGTGCTCCCTGGACGTCGGCTCCTGGTCGGGTGACCCTATGCACAACCTCGAGGTGCCGGGCCATCTGGGTTCGGGGGTGGCAAGGCCCAGGTCTGAAGTCCACCGGGACGAGAATGGCCTTTCTGGCCCCAGGCGGACCTCCTGGACCCAGAGCAGCGGTCTGACTTGGGATAAAATGGGGGCAGCCAGGTTCTTGGATTCCTGGAGCTCCGGACCGCGAGCCAGTGAACTCCTGGAGCACGCTCGTCAGAATCTCGGGCTCCCCGCACCGGGCGTCCAAGGTGCATAGCGTGCTTCAGGCTTCCTCAGCGATCCTGCTTGCAGGGACAAGGAGTGTCTGAGATTCTGAAGAGCCCTGCCACCGCCTTTTATAGCTCTGGCTGAGTAGGCGGTCCTCTGCAGTCAGGAGCAATCTGGGCGTGGCCTAGCCGCTAACTGCATCAGGAGAGGACCGGCCCATTGTCATTTATTACTAGAGGTCATGAATATTCATTAGTGGGAGGCCCGTTATGCTGCCTATGTCCTTTCTTTCAATCTGAATCCACACGTTTTTTTTCCCTGCACCTGCGCACCTTCCTCACAGGTAAAGAATGAGGAACTTGATCACCTAATCTCGCAGGCCCAATGAGAGCCACGTTGCCCCAATTAGACTGCCCAATTAGTCCATCGCCCTAATGGGAATTAGGGCATTGACCAAAACGCTTGCTTAGGTCTTTTTGATAAGAGAAAAATCTACGAATCATCCCTGTGTGCTTCCTTCAGGCCCCAAGGAAGGAAGATGGCAAATTGCCTCTCCCTCCTGGCGCGGGGAGCTAGATGAGCCTTTTGCTTTTCTCTTAGGGCCCCCGCTCATGACTAACAGCCTACCACAACAGTTTTGCTGGGTAACCAGGCTACCTGTTAGGAAACACTCTGTAAGTTATCCTCACCTGGGCACTGCACACTAGGACTTGGGACCACACCGATTCACACCTGTTCAAACAAATTCAAGGTCTCATCTTTAATGTCTATACAATCTTCCTAGTTTAACTTTTTATTAAAGATACGTTAAAAATACATACATTCAAATGCTGTGGCTAGTCTCAGTAGAACGTCCCAGATGTGCTGGAAATGACAGGAACTTTGACATTTTCTCTATGCTATGAGTAACTTCTTTTCTCTCTCTTTAATAATTTGTTATAGGTCCAAGTGGCATGATGCTGAAGGCACTGGCTCCCACGTGACTGATTCTGCAGCTGTAGTCCTGATGCAGCAGCTTGGGGAACACATAGGGTGTGTGTGTGTGTGTGTGTGTGTGTGTGCCCCAAACCCTGAGTAGGTAACAAAGAGAAAGAAATAGTAGTGTAGCCATCCCCTCTGGGGGCGGGACTGAGCTCTCACTTTCCCTCCCTCTCTATCTCTCTGGCAAGCCCACACACCCTGTGAAAATGAATCTAAGAAAAAATATAATGAGGTAAGGGGCACATGTGTTTGCTGGAGAGAAACATGGAGAGAGAGACAGAGAAAGTGATAATGCATTCCCCCAGGGAGAGGGGCACAGCACATCCCTTCTCTGCCATTCTCTTCTTGGAATTTGGGGCACACATGCCCAGCTTGTTTTCTAAGCTGCTGGATCTGATACTTGAACTATGCAGTTGGCCATGTGGGATCCAGCTGCCTTAACCACCATGCCACCAGCTGGCCCACTGTGAGTAGCTTGGAATGCTACCTAGATAGGCTGGTCTGGGAGCTGAAAATCAGGTTCTGACTAGACCATATAACATTGGGAGGAATCAAGTGGGCAAACCATGTAGCTGGGTGGGACCAAGAAAATACGGAACGCTAACAGTGACATGGTGCCTCACGGTAAAGGATCCTGCTCTGACCATAGTTGGGTGTCTACATCACAGCTCTCCTCTTCAACTTGGGTAGGATCATTCCATGCAAGGCCTGGATTTACATCCGCCAGTTTGCCGAGACATGGCCCCTGGATTAGAAGGACAAGTGTGGGGTATATTTTTAAAATAATATATTTCACATTATTTCTAAAGACTGTACACATTTGAATTGTGCTGGTGTACCATAATGTTCTTTTCAATTCTTTACTGAAAGCCAGGTTAGGTTTTTCTCCTTTTACATAAATATCTTGTGCTTAGAAGTGACATTGGGTTAAAAAAGAGCATTCACACTTATATATTCAATACTACTGTCCTGTTTGAGAAACAGATACCAAATTTATTGCTACCATTTTTTCTTATACTCTCTCCATTTTATTCTGCTTATTTTAAACTCTCCTCCATCATATTCTCAAAATCTTCCATTCCAGCATAATCTGCTTTTTTTTCTTGTGGTAGGAACTAATAGTCTGGTTATCTGTGAGCATAAGAAGGAAAGGAAAGCAGAAAGACTCCAGAACAGGAAGAAGAGGGTGAGAAAGGAGGCTCCCTCCATGTTCAAACAAGAAGCCTTTCCAATTCTTCTTGACCATCTGCTCCCATTTCCTGTCATGGAGGGGAGACATTTAATTACTCTAATCAGAAGTGCAAGGCAAACAATGTCGGTTCCACATTCTGCACTGAAATTTAGAACTGTTATCATGTGAATGGGAAAATGTCCTCCAAAGAACCTAGATTAAAGTCAACATTAAGTTTCTTCAGTTTGATTTCTAAGTTTTGAGGGGACAGGAAAGATCCAAAGGTCCCAGGGTAGTCACTCCTGCATGCTTCCATCCCTGTGTTTGCCCAGTTACTTGGTGTGCAGGATGGAGACTGAGTTGTGAGGACTCATAGATCTGTCTCCTGGATGCCTGCAGAAAGGCGTGTCTCAGATGCTGTGGGCCCTGAGATGGGAGGAGACTTGATAGCATGGACGTGGTGATATGGACTGCTCTGCATCCCTCTACATTTCATGTGGTAAAGTTCCAACCCCCAGCGTCATGCATGGTATTTGGAGATGGAGCCCCATCTCCTGGAGAGTGATTGTGCCCTACAGTGAAATTCAAATAAATACTTGTATGAGGAAGAGACCCCAGATTACCTCTCCCTTTGTTGCCGTATAGGACACAGTCGGTAGACAGCCATCTATAAGACAGAACGTGTTCCCTCCCCAGGAACCCAATCATCTCGAACTTCCCAGCCTCCACAGCTATGGCAATTGAATAAATATCTAGTATTTGAGGACTCTAAGCCACTTTGCCTGAGCCCAACATGAATATGCGTTTTTGTTGTATGTTGAATTAAGATCCATGAAGATATTTGCACTGGGTAGGCCCAACCAAGACAGGATTCTGTAATTACCTCCAAATTGTCTGACATGGAGCCAGGACTTCATGGCTGTCGACTGAGAAGGCACAAGTCTAGTGATTTTCTCTGGCCTCTTTAATCTTTTTGTTCCTGTTCATGTAACCTTTAGGTAATGTAAAGAACACTTATTGATGCCTTCTCATCTGGAGAGGCCATGCTCATTTTCTGAGAAGCTCATCAAGTTGTCCACCCAGCTCTCCTGTCCTACCCTATTGGTGTCCCCAGCTCCTCAAAGCCCCTTAGATTCACCTGATAGCTGACCTGGGTCCCTGTCTGCTTCCTGCCTCAGGTCGTCCAATACAGCTGCTCATAAGAAAAAACAATTGCACAGGCGGAAAAAGAAAGACTTTGATCAACATAGACAACTCTGGTAATATGAGAACCATGATCATTTAAAGACATGGAAAAGAAAAGTTGCCGGGCATATTATTGACGACACAAAGAAAGGTTTTCTCAATGGAAAATCTTTAATTCGTTCAGGAGAAGAAGAATACAATAAGAGAATTACTCTGAAGTGTCTAGGCAGACAGTGCAGAGTCCACAGGGTCGGCGTGAGGGCCCCGCCTAGTGTCTAAGGCTCCCCCAGGGCGTCAGCTGAGGGTTGTGGGGCTGTGGACCTGCAGCAGAGATGGGTGCCTCGCCTTTCCTTATTCCTCCAGGTTTCAAGCCTTGGTTTTCAGCAGCTTCCTGGGAAGGCCTGGGCTCCAGGGGGCGCGCTGGCTCTGTGTCGGTCCTCCACAAGTGTTGGAATCTCTAGGCTGGTTCAGGCCCCTTTGGGCATCCTCGGTGGTAGTAGGTATGTCTGCACGGGGTGACTGCAGCTCCTTTGCGGTGTCAGCCACTGGGTCCTGAACAGGTGTGTCTCGACAGCGTTTTTGTCCTCTCTCAACACAGGAATCGGCTCCCTGCGCAATGTAATGCCAACTCATCAGCCTCCATGCACTGGGGTTCACATCTCCACAGCACTGGGGGCACTGGCAGGAGTGACGGCTCAGCGCTGGGAAGTTATCCAGTGCCCAGGCCCAGGCCTGCTCTCGGTTTAGGCCCTCTGGAATGTGGGGCTCTAGCTGTGCCCACCTCCAGGATGGCTCTCCCATGGCTGATGCTTGGAGCTCCAACGTGTCAGTCTCCCAGCCAGGCCAAGCCATGTTTCTGGTCTAGGAAGAGCGAATGATTCAGTCTTCTGCTGACTGTGCCTTTTTATACTGTTCTACTGGGGACCAGAAACCAGACCAGCTATGTGGGAACTGACACTCATTTGCCTTGCTAATTAGTTCAGAGGCTGATGGGGTTAAGGTGGAAATTGTATCACTGTGGAAGACACAGTAGGAACTGCTTGGCTTTTGATTGCATCAGGCAGTGGAAGGGTGTGGAGTGGGCAGAAGGGCCCTGTTAGAGGCTGTTCCCATTCTCAGTAGAAAGTCTCTGTGTCAGGAAAGCCTGGACAAATTGCATCACTATGTCCAGTTCTCTTCCTGGATCTGAGAAACACTGCCTGGCTTTAGAGATGAGATTCAGTGAGGGTGGATGGTCCAAGACTACACAGCTAGTTCTGCTGGAGCTGGATTGAGAACCTCATCCTCAAGCATAGACATTAAGCAGGGAAATGAGTGAAGGAGTAGTTCGCTTCTGTCAGAGAAGCAGAGTCCCGTTCTACTTAGGATTGTACTTTTTTTCTATTTTCGTCTAGATTACTCACATGATACATACATTCGTATCTACTGTAATTTTCATGCTTAAAAGCAAATTGATGGGGCCAGCAGGTGGTGTGGTGGTTAAGGCACTGGATACTCCCACAAAGCCAGCCAGGGTGCGAGTCCCAGACCTGGTGACTTGCTTTCTCAATTTTTCTCCCTATATGTCTCTCTCTGATCAAATTAAAATAAATGAATGAAGAAATGAAATTAAATAATTCTTAAAAAAAATCAGTTGAGATAACGTCGTACTTTCAATAGTGCTTTTTGCAATTCTCTATCTTTTGGTGTTATTTTTCTTTAGTGCTATAGGGTGTGTGTACTGGTCAGAGATTAAAAAAAGAGAGAGAGAAAATGAGGAAGCAACTCCTCTCCCCTGGGGCAAGATGGCTCTGCTACAGACCACTTTCCTTCATTCTCCTCTCAGGAGTTTGGGCAAGTACACACACCAACCCGGGGTGTTTCTTATGCCACCATATCTGGCACTCAATCTATGCACTCAGCCATGTGGAACCCAGCCACCTTAACCACCACAACACAGGCTGACACAACCCCTGCCCTTTTAATGTGATTATGCAGATTCTATTATTAGTGAATGTCTCTTTGTCTGCCCACCAAAGCAACAAGAAACCTTCTTTAAGGCCCAAATAGTAGAGACCAGCAGTTAGCATAATGGCTATGTCGTTGGACTCCCAAGTAGTTAACTGCGGTTTGTGTCCCGGACCCAGTGGCTTAAACTCACGCTGGGTGCATGTGCTTGCGTGCCCAAGATCCCGGGAGGAGAATGGAGGAGAATGGAGGAGAAGGAACTGCAGTGTAGCCATCCCCCCTGGCGGGGGGGGGATTTCTCGCGTTCTGTCTCTCTGTCTCTCTCTGTCTTTCTGGCAAGCACACGCGTCCTATAGCAAAAACCTCTCCAAAAGAAAAAAAAGAAGCCCAATAGTATATCCATAGGATCTGAGACTTGTCCTCTACTCAATACCCTTTTTCAGCTTGATTATTTTATTCAAATTATTAAAAAAAAAAAAAAAAAAGGCCATCTTGTGACTTGGTGGCTCAGGTGTGGTGGCCAAAGGCAGACTAAGTCCCAGTGCCAGTGGGATAAAAAATCACACTGCGCATGGTACCTAAAATCCTGAAACGGAGAAATGAGTAGGGATTGCACCATGTCTGCCCTCATAGGGGTTGCTTTCTCACCTTCCCTCCCTCTCTCTCTGTCTCTCTATCTCTCTTATCTAGGGAGGAGAATAGGAGAAGGTTATAATGCTGAAAGTTTTCCTTACATCTTAGTCTCTATCTGTCTGTCTCCAGGTTAGATGAATGTGGCCAAGAGGTGCTGCCAGAGCAGGTGCCTCTCTGGGTTCTGTGCGGTGCCCCACTCCCCTCAGGATGACTTTGACTCCACCCAGGTCCTGGATGTAGGATCCCAGAGGGGCAGGGTGTAGGACTCCAAAACACTTGGACTCTGGGCAACATCTGTGTCGAGGGCAGGCCCAGCTGAGCAGCCCACGTGGACTAGAAAGCACTTCTTGGTTTTGCAATGTACGCTGCCGCCTCCCCCCCAACCCCAGGCTCCAGCTTGGAGAAGCTCCAAACCCGAACTAATGTCTATCAACAGAACTGAGAATCTGTGATCCACAATGGGACAAAGAAATGTGGTATTATCTCTTGAAGATAATTTTTATAGTATTATCAACTGGACTAGGGAGAAAGGTACACATGTTGGAATATTCACTTTGTAAGCTAATTAATGTGATTAAATGTATAAAAGAACAAGAAATAAGAACATAAGTAAAAAAGAAAAAGAATGGGATGCTCGATGGGAATTAGATGAACAAGCAGTGATGTTGTGCAGGAGGGACGCACCTCACAGTGAGGGATGGACAAGGACACACAATGTGCACATCCAGGAAAACCAGTCTCTGTTGTTAGAGGTCAGGGATTGGTCACCCTTTGGGAGGATAGTGACTGAGAAAAAAACGCTGGTTAACGTCATTTTTTGATCTGGGTTCAGGGTACATGCCTGCACCCAGATCAAATTCACCAACTGACACACATGAACTGTCCTTTCTAAATTATACCATAACAAATCTGATTTTCTTTAAAGTAAAAAAACAAAACAAACAAAAAACTGGATGTGGCATTTGGTACATGGGTGACTAGAGAATACTTAGAGCAAAGAACTAGACAAAAAAAGAAGCCAAGGAAGAGAGCGGCTCGGCAGTCTTCAAGGACAAAGGACAGGCGGTGAGGACGACAACTGCAGCCGGGCTGCAGGGGCACACTGAAGGAGCGTCCCCTGCACAGGCTCTGCAGAGGGTGCTTGCTCCCTGCGCACACACAGCTCTCTGCTCTCTGACCCTTTAGTCTCCAAGGACCTGTGTCCTTAGGGGGATCCTTTTGTCACTTGGACCTTTGAGGGAAGCTGGGGTCCAACCTTTTCAACACTCCCGACAACATCCAAGTCAGTTTCACATATTCTACCCTGCCCTACTTCCCAGCCCACCTGGATGAAAACTGGCTAGGATCTAGAGTCCTTCTCCCTTCACCAAGCCTTCCTCCCTGCCAGGTCTTCAGTGACATCTCTGTCTTCAAGTTCCACTAAACACCCTTGCCTTCCATTAGATCATAAAAGGAAAACTGAAGACCGTGTTGATCATCTGTGTAAATGTTATTGAAAATGTTTTATCTTCTAAGAAAAAAAGGAGGAACAGGAAGGGGAAGAGCTCTTGGGAAGACTTCCTGCTCCTCCTTGTGAAGAGGGCAGTTCCAGGGCTCTGGCCAAGGTCAGAGGTGCTCTGACCATCGGCTCTGTGTGCCCACTGCCAGCAGCGCTTGCCTGGCTAGGGTGGCTGCCTGCTCACTACAGTGGGCGCCCAGGGTGGGTTCTACCAGCAGGAGTGCAGAGGTCCATGATGAGATGAGTGTCAGTCTCTGGGTGTGGGTTGGGGGAGGGCGTTTCCCGAGGCTCACACTCTGCAGATGCACTTTAATTCCTACTCTGTTGATCCCGGTCAGCAGCATCAGCCTCTCCTGGGCTGCCTTTGGCTCCATCAGCGTCCAGGCTGAGGACTGGGGCCGTGAAGGCTTGGGGCAACTTTCCTTGAACAAACATCTGCCTCCTGAGCAGTTCCAGCATGGCAGCCCATCAGAACAGTGGAGGAGTTTAAGGAGAATTTAGAGTGGAGCTTAAATGGGTCACCTAACTTGGAGTAGTTAGGCTAAGTCCCAAGCCCAAAGTGTTTCTGAGGCATAGAGAGGATACCTGAGGCTTGGCTTCTGCCCCTTCCAAGTCTGATTTTTGCAGGAAAATGTGGGTGTGTCATTGCTTTCCTATGTGAGCCTGAACAAGCTGTGTGTGGGTTAAGGGAGAAGGTGAAATTTGTTCCAGGCCTCATTGAGTGTCAAAGTAAAACATCAAAAAAGGGCAGAATGCTGGTACTTGAACTTATCATTAATGAAAGGCGGGTCAGGCCATGAAAGAAAAGCACACCCATCCCTAACTAGTTTCCATTTGCCTTCAATACATTTTTCCCTGGGGCAGTGTGTATCAGACTTTAATTGGGGTGTGGGTCACTCCAAAATGTTGTATACTCATCTTCTGACCCAGTAGATTCTGGGGTCAGAGATTCTGTATTTCTAATGAGTTCTAGGTAATAGGGAGGCTGTCTGTCCTTAATCTTGTCTACTCAATAAAACCACCTGTGAAGCTTTAAAGAGACGACCAATGCCCAGGTCTCTCCACAGCCAATAACATATTAGAATGACGACTGGACATAAGAATATATTATTTTAAAAGATAGCTATTTTTGCCATAGGGCATGTATACCTGACAAAGAGAAAGAAAGAGAGAACTCCTATCACAAAGTGGTCTAAAGATGCCATAATCCCTTCTCCTCCACCCACCTCTCAGGATTTTGGTCATGCATCAACATGCTCCTAGACAGGAGCTGCTAGATATGGGGCTCAAACCATGAAGGGCATATAAGAGTCAAGTGATGTGAACACTCTGCCATCTTGTGGGAGCCCAGACACTTCTTTGTCTGTCTGTCTCTCTTTCTTTCTTTTTTTATTTTTTTAGAATTATTTCTTTAATTTTGGAGTGAACGGGGTTCAACTTCTAGTCCCTTGGAGTTGACCTGCAGTACTCCAGTTGGAGTCCATAGGGAATCAGGAAAGTAGCCCTTCCTGCTTGCCTAGAACATTCTATCTCAGATGTGAGAGAAACGGGAGGATTTCCCTGTCCAGTGGAGCCTCCAGGTAGACAATTCCAAATGTGAAAACAAAAGTAATGTCACAAATCCTCCTCAAGTGCAGGTCAGCATTTTTGTTTTTAATCTTCCTGGAACCCTAAATCTCCTCACTCACACTTACTTCGATCAATTAGAAACGTGGTCAAACCATGTTGTTTGGAAGACACAGTTAGCCCGTTGGCTAGGGCTGGCAATGTAGGTGGTCACAGCAAGGAAGGTGTATGAATGATTTTAGGAAAAGAGTTCTGGAGTCGTTTCCTGAATGTGCATGAATTTCTTTCTAGAGTGAGAGTAAGAAGTTTGGTGGAAACAAGGAGGCAGGAAAGGATGGAGGGAGAGAGGGGAGCAGCACTCCTGTTAGACGTGGGATACCAATTTGCCCACCAATGTTTCCTGCCTAGGGCAGGTTGTTGATAGTAAAAGCATGTAGTGAGAACTTCCTTCCTGTAGGGTGTGTAGGTAGCGGGTGGAGGGTCATTTGAGTGGGCCCATGGCAGGAGGGTAGGGCCTCTGTTATTGAGTTCTGGTAGGCTTATTAGGGGAGGAGGTGAGAGCGGACACAGCCCTGGGAACACACACCCTGCTCTCATCACTGTTCTGCTTCCCTGTGCTCAGCCAAAAGGGTCCCTGCCTGCCATTTTGCTCTGCCTCTGGATATTTTCTGCCACCTGCCCAGTAAGTCATTCAACTTGTCATTTTTCACATGGACCCCTTTTTAGGTATTTCCCTGAGCAAAGGTGCCAGAACACTAAACACCCTCTGATGTATGATTCTTGAGTTTCTGAGCAGTTCTGAGGGGGAAGGTCCTCAGGTCTACTAAGACCTGTTGAGTAACCCCCTTCTCCAAGGCCTAGGGAATGAATGGAGGGGTGGAAGTCAGCTTTGCGAGGCACCGGCCTCAGGGAAAACCTGGGAAGTCAGTCCCATGTCCATCTCACTTTCTCTAGCCACGTGCCTGCTGCTCAAGCTGGTAGAAACCCCGTCCAGATGCTCTGGCTTCTCTCCATGCAGTTTCACTTTGTGCCAGTTTTGATCCACTGGTCCTTCCTCCCTTCTCTTCCCATAGGATCCCCAAGCAGAAGGGGAGCTGAGGCCCGACTCCATGCCTGCCATGGCCAGCAAAGTGGATCTGTCTCTAGAGGACATCACCAAACTGAACCGCAGCCAGCGGTGCCCTGAACACGGCGAAGAGCCAAGGGACACCTATCCTGAGAAGCAAGGAGGCACAGGTCACATCTGCCCAAGGCCAGCACTCTAAAGCAGGCCCAGGTGACTCTCAGACCAGCGTCAGCACCATGTGACTGACTGTGACTTCAGAGGCGGTGTGGGCTCCAAGTCCCACAGGCAGCAGCTGCTGCTGCTGTCCAACCTGTACCCCAGTGTGTCCAACACATATATCCAGACGTTCTTGGGCTAATTTGGAGCATTCCAGAAGCAGGAAGCTGTGCACTATGATGGCTCTGGTCACAGCTTGGGCACAGCCACTATGTACTTCCAGTGGAAGGCTAATCCCCTGAAGGTGCTGAGGGAGTACTACGGTGTCCCTTTGGATGGCTGCCCCTTGAGCATCCAGGTGGTCACCTTGCCCAGGGATATTCCAAAGATACCTACCCCAAGTAGGAATGGAGGAGGCCTGAACTGGAAGCGTGGTTCAGGTGGTCAGCTCCTGGCCATGGCTCCTGGTGAGGTGGCACGAGAAAAGACTAAGTTCTAGACCACCATTCAAAGCAGCAGCTTGTGCAGAGGAACTGGACACCCAACTCAATGCCTACAAAGCCACTGCTGTCACAAGAAAAGGACAATCCTTAACTAGACCTTCAAATCCTGGTGGGGCACAGATCTTGCTCAGTTTTCTGCTCCCAGGCGGAAGACAGAGTGCCCAAGGCTGTGGGCCCAACGTTGAGTTTCTTTCTCTCACATTGTACAATAAAATTTAAACACTGAAACAACTTTGTTGACTCTTTTTCTTGTTCATGATTCATTTTTCCACTCCTGAAATTTGCCTCGAGTTATTTGGAAGGATTTTATTTTACTGGTGCTTATAGCAAAGAACACAGTTTTCTCACCTTTTTCCCAGTCCAGAAGATATCTGTAGATGAGGACCATGGGCGGTGGAGGTGGAAACCTATTGAGAGGGAAGAAAAATGCAACTGAGGGGACAATAGAGGAGAGCAAGCATGAACTGTAGGAGACTCACAACAACAGAGTGGTCAGACTGAAGATGTCTGCCTAATCTTAGATATGAACAAAAGAATAGTCCCAGAAAACCTACTACAACTTTCCCAGAATGTGCACAGTGATATGCAATGTTCAATAACATGTCACATGTAAAAATTCATACCCTGATGCGCTTTTACAACCTGGATTCATGCTTTGAAAGACCACAGTGCACTCCCCAAAGATGGACCATGTACACATGGAACACAATGCACAATAATAAATAAACCTATGACCAAAGTGTGTGTTCTACTTGTGAGTGCCAATACATTCATGGAGCATAGCAGAAAGCCAGGAGGACCAAGATCACTTGGAATGATCCCATGCCACTGAGTCCATTCTGACAGAAAATGACAAGACCAGGCCCGTGGCTTTGATCTACCCATTCCCTGCATCCAGAGGGAAACTGACAATCCCAATCTGCCCAGACAAATTCAATCCTTCCAAGAGTGGAGTGATGGCAAATGCTTTAATAATATCACTTGCCTCCCTGGTCTTTTGATAAGAGTCCCAGGAGACCATTCTTCCCTGTCTTCCCTGGATTCACAGTCTGGTTTTTCAAGCAAATGTCTCAAATGGTAGGGTGTCTCCATTTGTCCTGTGCAGAAAAGAGTCAACAGCCCAACGCCTACCTGTCTCACTCAACTCCAAGGATCTTACAGCTTTTACTTGGCCACCATAAAGCGTTAGAGGAAACCTCATCTATGTGTGGGGAGGTTTCAAGTGACTGATGTGGAGAAAGGGCTAGGTGGTCAGTTGGGGTGGTCTCTCTGAACCCTGCTGCTTTGGCCAGACATGTCCACCTACAGGAATGTGGCTGAGGCAAAGCAACTAAAACCAAAGTTTTCACTGGGGAGCAGTCATGAAGGGGATGGGACCAAGCTGCAGCGAAGTAAGCCACTAAGTGACTGAGGTTCAAATCTCCAGTCCAAGTGGCCTGACAGAGACCAGGTCCACAAGCAATAGCCACCATTAAGGAGGTAGAACCCTGAAGGAAGCAGATCATACCTTGACCAGACTCCCTGTCTCTTTCTCTCTCTCTTCCCTCTGTCTATCTCTCCCTCCATCTTTCTCTCTAATAAATTTGGACATGCTCTAATGCCAATGTGGAGGAGGAGCCTTTACTGGGGGCAGGAGTGGGGAGAGGTGCTGGAAATTACACGGACCCCATTGGCCCAGATGAAATGTGTTACAAGGTATTCTAGCAGGCATCAGGGGGATATTAGTGGCCAGAGTGGAGTAAAGAAACTTGGGGTGGGGGTGGGGTGTAACGAGAAGTGTGCTACAGCAGTGGTCACTGAATTTGTGTGGTAAGGGCAGCTGATGTCTTCATGACCACCTGCAGTTCCCTTATAAATGATGCCGACAGTCTAGAAGGAGAAGGACTGAGTTTGAGTGAAAAGGATGTCCATGAAAGAAAAGTTCCATTAAGTGTGGGTAGCTTTGAAAAGTATTTTGGGTGAATATTCCCCTGAAAGCTGCAAAGAGGCACTCAAGTTCCACATCCTCAGAATGCTGACTTAGGTAGACTGGAATCACTTGTTTTCTGGTACTCTCAGGTTTATTTGAGGGCATCTACTGGCTTCTCTCAACTCTCCAAATCAGGGTGTGAGCTAGTGAAGGAGCAGCTTTCCTGGGGTTCCTCCACTGGGGCTTGAGCAGGGGCTTCGTGGAAACCTATGGATTCCTCTGTGTTCAAAGGAACAAAACCCCATGGGAACCAGCAGTTAGCGTAATGGCTATGTCGCTGGACTCCCATGTAGTCGACCGTGGTTCGCGTCCCGGACACGGTGGCTTAAAACTCATGCCGGGCGCGTGTGCGTGCGTGCCCAAGATCCCGAGAGGAGAATGGAGGAGAAGGGATTGCGGCGTGACCATCCCCCCTGGGGGGTGATTTCTTGCTTTCTGTCTCTATGTCTCTCTCTGTCTGTCTGTCTGGCGAGCGCACGCGCCCTATAGCGAAAAACCTCTCACAAAAACAAAAAACAAAATACAACCCTTTGCTCAGGCTCTCTAGGAAGTTCGAGTGGAACCTAAACAGTCCTCAGTGCCACTGTCAGTTACCATACTTCTGGGTCTAAGGTCACAACCTCAGGGAGTGGGTTACAGTGTCCTCTTGGTTATTGTGACTTCTCCCAGGTGTTTGGTTGTTTTCACTGGTGAGAAATCATTGAAAATTGTGTGGATGGCCACATGCACACATTGCAAAGTGTGAGGGCCAGCCTGTGGGGAGGTGGATAAGGTGTTAAGATCCCACATGGCCGACTGTTCATTTGAGCCATATGCATGGCGGATCATGAACATATCTGGCATGGTGCCTGCCCCAAATCCCCAAAGGATGAGAAAATGCAGGAGAAGTGGTTGACTGGGTCAAACGCTGCTGAGAGGTCAAATAAACAATTACTCTACATAAGTAATGCGTTTAAACATTTGCAATTATAATAAAGTCATAAGAAATGGATAACGTGCCACCAAAAACGCACAGGAGAACTTGTTTACACAATACAGACTTTCCTTGAAGAGAAAGGAGAGAACTCTCCTGTTTTTTCCTGTTAGCCAGACCTGACCTTTATCAAAAACACTGGAATTAAGCCAATATGTCAAAGGAGGGCAGAAATAGGAATTCTAATAGAAAGTCAAGGCCTTGGGACTGCCAAGCTAGCTTCGGCTCTAGGCTTCGAGTCAGGAAAAGCAGGGAAAGCCTCAAAGTTCAGACTTAGAAATCGGGGCTAGAATTAGTGTCCTTGGAAGAAGAAACACCAGAAGAAGAAAACATCTCCTTCTGTGCCATGTCAGGACACAGAAGACGGCCATTTGCAAGACAGGAAGAGCTCCCTTGCCATGAGCTGAATCAACGGGCACTGTGTTCTTGGACCTCCCCACCTACACAACTTGGAGAAAGAAATGTCTGTGGTTTCACACACACACGGCCTGTGATATTTTGTTATCACAGCTTCAACACACTGCCACTTGCCAAGGGACCCCACCCATAAACCCTCACTTCTATTGTCATCTCAAATTATAATCCACAGACCCTTGCACCGGGCGGGGTTACCAGGATTTTGAGCAGCCTGGAATTGTCTGACATGTACTTTGTAGCTGTCAACTCAGAGGGTACAAGCCTCGGGATTTTCCTCTGACCTCCTTTCACCTTCTGACCCTTGTTCATGTCACATTTAGGTCATTTACTTTTTTTTTTTAAGATATTTTTGCTATAGGGCATGTGTACTCACCAGGGAGACAGAGACAGAAAGTGAGAAATCACCCCATCCCAGGGGGGATGGCCATACCACAATCCCTTCTCCTCCATTTTCCTCACAGGATTTTGGGCAAACACAATCTCATGTCTAGCCTGAGTTTTAAGCTGCCAGGTCTGGGACTCAAACCGTGGTCATCCATATGGGAGTCTAGTGATATAACCATTATGCCATCAACTGGTCCCATCTTTAGATCATTAAAAGAACACCTATTGATACCTGCTTCCTGCCCTGTCTGAAGGGCCACTCATTTTCCAAAGAAGCTCAGTAACTGGTCCACCCAGCTCTCCCTTCCCACCTTATCGGTGTCCCCAGCTCCTCAAAGACCCCTGGAGTTCAGCCTGCAGCTGATCTGGGTCCCTGTTCCCTTCCTGCCTCAGGGCCACTTTCTGGTACTCTCAGGTTTATTTGAGGGCATCTACTGGCTTCTCTCAACTCTCCAAATCAGGGTGTGAGCTAGTGAAGGAGCAGCTTTCCTGGGGTTCCTCCACTGGGGCTTGAGCAGGGGCTTCGTGGAAACCTATGGATTCCTCTGTGTTCAAAGGAACAAAACCCCATGGGAACCAGCAGTTAGCGTAATGGCTATGTCGCTGGACTCCCATGTAGTCGACCGTGGTTCGCGTCCCGGACACGGTGGCTTAAAACTCATGCCGGGCGCGTGTGCGTGCGTGCCCAAGATCCCGAGAGGAGAATGGAGGAGAAGGGATTGCGGCGTGACCATCCCCCCTGGGGGGTGATTTCTTGCTTTCTGTCTCTATGTCTCTCTCTGTCTGTCTGTCTGGCGAGCGCACGCGCCCTATAGCGAAAAACCTCTCACAAAAACAAAAAACAAAATACAACCCTTTGCTCAGGCTCTCTAGGAAGTTCGAGTGGAACCTAAACAGTCCTCAGTGCCACTGTCAGTTACCATACTTCTGGGTCTAAGGTCACAACCTCAGGGAGTGGGTTACAGTGTCCTCTTGGTTATTGTGACTTCTCCCAGGTGTTTGGTTGTTTTCACTGGTGAGAAATCATTGAAAATTGTGTGGATGGCCACATGCACACATTGCAAAGTGTGAGGGCCAGCCTGTGGGGAGGTGGATAAGGTGTTAAGATCCCACATGGCCGACTGTTCATTTGAGCCATATGCATGGCGGATCATGAACATATCTGGCATGGTGCCTGCCCCAAATCCCCAAAGGATGAGAAAATGCAGGAGAAGTGGTTGACTGGGTCAAACGCTGCTGAGAGGTCAAATAAACAATTACTCTACATAAGTAATGCGTTTAAACATTTGCAATTATAATAAAGTCATAAGAAATGGATAACGTGCCACCAAAAACGCACAGGAGAACTTGTTTACACAATACAGACTTTCCTTGAAGAGAAAGGAGAGAACTCTCCTGTTTTTTCCTGTTAGCCAGACCTGACCTTTATCAAAAACACTGGAATTAAGCCAATATGTCAAAGGAGGGCAGAAATAGG